GGCGCCACTGCTTCCAACTCCGCCGGGAAGGTCACCAGCCGTTTGGTAGCGTATGTTTATCAGCTCGCGACTGCTTCTGCGCAGAGCTGATAAGACGAGCGGACGAGACGACGGTGAGTTAAACAAGGTTTATGTACAGCATATACACAGAGGCGTTACAAATTCGGCACTGGGGCCGACAGACTCGAAGAGCCGAGCTCTCCTCTCTAATACATAGGTCAACTTTTCGCCTAAGACCGCCGACTCACACACATGTCGGCTCTCCGACATGGGGACTCCTCTCTCGTAGGACCGCCGATCGCGACGCGCCGCAGGGCTTCTTTTATTTGCACCGGGTCCAACCAAAATGTCCAATCAGAAGCGCCGCTGGTCGTCAGGGCAGATTCCTCCGATGGGGTCGCCGCGCCATGCGTCAGACCACCAGACACGAGGACGCCGGCTCGCTGCCACGTGCGCAGCTGACTCAATGCACGTGGGCCAGAGGGGCGCCGCGCGTGTTCACGCCGTCGAGTTGATCGCGCCAGGCGGACTGCGGGCTGGCCTTGACCCAGATTGCCTTTTTCAGAGTCACGGACGTTTGACGAGGACTCGCTGGCATAACAGCGCTCATGTAGTTGAAAGGGCGTACGCGCATGACATCTTGGCGTGTGTGCGTGCCCGTGGAAAGAATACGCTTCCGTTCGCTAATATCTCAGAACCTCGAGATTCAGCTTCTCCTGTGGCGTCAACGCTTTACGCGTCTTCTGTGGCTTTTGTTCTATTGAACGACTTCGCTTATACTGTGGCTAATAGCGTGTCGCTGTTATATTTTTTTTGTTTAATGCGAATTAATTTCGTGCTCCACGAAGTACGAAGTCCGGCGTTAGCGTCTGACGGTAGGGACGATTTTACGTGCAACAAGTGGGTATAGATGATTTTGAGTTGTTGTTGAACAATTGTCGTTTTTGCATATCGCTACGGGAGTTAGTCTCGTCACTGAAACGTCGAATACACAAGTCCAACGGTTTTCCTGCGTGTGCCTCTACCGTAGCACTGTTCGATTATTTCTTCACGCGATAGCGTTAAATAGGTTTCGCAGAAATTGCAGTGGCGTTGGCGTCCTTGGTGGCGCGCCCCGAAAAAGTAGCTTTGGCCGTGAGGAAAAATTTGAGGTAAATGCAACCTAAAATTGTAGCCGGAGGCCACTTGCACTTTAGCTTTTTTTTTTTTTTCGCGGTACAGTTTAGGTCTTCAGCCAGAAGTGAAGGAAGGCTAGTGGTTGCAACAGTACGTGCATGCGTGCGAATATCGCTGTGACGTTCAGGTCCTAAATGCGAATAATAAACGTCATCCAATTGTACTCTTTCTTACACACCTTCCCCCTTCTCATCAGATGTTAAATGGCCAGTCAACAGGCTCAGACTTTTTTTTTTTTTACAACCTCCAAACAAACTCGCGCATCTTTGGTACGCCTGACCAACCTCCTTCCACGCGCAGTGACGTCAAGTCGGCTTTCGGCGACGTTGACTTCATTACTCTTTGTTGAGACCTGCTTTAGACCAATCGACGAGCTGCGTGCTGCGTGACGTCACCGATCGCCGAGTTGACGTCACTGCGCGTGGAAGGAGGTTGGTCACGAGAAGGGAAAATGCGTAAGCTTTTCCTGCGCGTATCGGAGCCTGTTGACTGCAGTTCTTTAAGAAACCAAAATGTATCTATAGTGTCTGGGTGAGTGAGTGAAAGTGGTTTCCGCGACACTATTTTAAAAAAAATACTAAACGCGAAGGCTACAATCCAGTTCATATGATGGCTCTGAAACCCACCCATAAAACTGTCTACAGACTCACGTAACCAAGTGATGACGTCACGATTCGAAGTGCCAATTATAAACCGACCTGGCCCACACACCGCACAGATTGACTTTGTGCAGTTGCAAAATCGAATTGATTCTCGTTTAAAAACGGCCCGGTCTATACTGAAAGAGGACACAGATCAATGCATCGACCACGAAAAAAGTAAAAAAAGAGAAAAAGACGATATCTCGCAATCAGACCCATAGCCAGAAATAATTTTTTTTCTAGGGGAGGGGGGGGGGGGGGGCACCTAATTGCTGAATGCGTTGACTATTTGAGAGGAGCATCCGCTTTTTACGTATTATCTGTTTTCAGCGGAGCACTTCCCTTCCATGAAAATTCAGAAGTGTGAAGGAGAGTTAGGGGTGCTGTAGTTTCCTTGATTCACAGTTAACCACAAGTTCACAGTTAACTGTGCAAGTTCACCAACACAGTCGATGTGAGTGCCACTCCCAGACAACCTAAGCATTGCATTCGGGTTGCTCTAATTTCTCAAGTTCCAAACATGCGCCCCGCAACCTTTTTTGCAAGCTCTTTTGATCATCTGCCCGGCTTATGATCGAAAACATTCGATCGTTCGCGAGTCGTGGGCTCGACATAATGGCCTTCGCATGCATTGAAGAAACGCACCTGCCTCGCATGCAAGTACTTGGCGTGCCCTTTGGTTATTTATTATTCGTCCTGGTCGATATTACCTTCGAGATTTGGGGTTCTGTAAACACCCGAGGCCTTTGGACATTATCCGAGGTCGTTCCCGGAGCTGTAACAATGCCGAGACGCCCTGCGCCGTGTAGGGCGAGTCGCGATCGCACGAACAGGGGATTTCGATCGTTGCTCGCGCATTATTCGTCGGTATACGTCGTGGCCGGGTTTTAAAAACAAATGCCGCCATATTAAACCTCTTTGCATGTGTCTACGCGAGTAGCGATGGTCGCGTTGCCTTCGCGTGAGTTTGTTTGTTAAGACGAGTCTTTCTTGGGATACTTAAAGGCAGAAATTTTTGCTGTATCTATCTGTCTGTCTGTCTGTCTGTCTGTCTGTCTGTCTGTCTGTCTGTCTGTGTCTGTCTGTCTGTCTGTCTGTCTGTGTCTATCTGTCTGTCTGTGTCTGTCTGTCTGTGTCTGTCTGTCTGTGTCTGTCTGTGTCTGTCTGTGTCTGTGTCTGTCTGTCTGTCTGTCTGTGTCTGTCTGTCCTGGTCTGTCTGTGTCGTCTGTCTGTCTGTCTGTCTGTCTGTCTGGTCTGTCTGTCTGTCTGTCTGTCTGTCTGTCTGTGTCTGTCTGTCTGTCTGTCTGTCTGTCTGTCTGTCTGTCTGTCTGTCTGTGTCTGTCTGTCTGTCTGTCTGTCTGTCTGTCTGTCTGTCTGTCTGTCTGTCGGTCTGTCCTGTCTGTCCTGTTGCTGTCTGTCTGTCAGCGTCTGTGTCTGTCTGTCTGTCTGTCTGTCTGTCTGTCAGCGTCTGTGTCTGTCTGTCTGTCTGTCTGTCTGTCTGTCTGTCTGTGTCTGTCTGTCTGTCTGTCAGCGTCTGTGTCTGTCTGTCTGTCTGTCTGTCTGTCTGTCTGTCTGTCTGTGTCTGTCTGTCTGTGTCTGTCTGTCTGTGTCTGTCTGTCTGTCTGTCTGTCTGTCTCTGTCTGTCTGTCTGTCTCTGTCTGTCTGTCTCTGTCTGTCTGTCTCTGTCTGTCTGTCTCGGCACACAGCCAGCCGGCGGCTAATTTTCGATCTGAGGCGCATCAAGAATAACTGTCAGGGGGTGTGTTCCTTTACTAGAAAATAAAAAGATACGTAATTCTAAAGAACCTTGTTTTTCTGAGGCTGCTCTGAAAATGCGATGCTATTATGCACCAAAGAAGGCCGGCAGAAGGCTATTGTCTTTCGACGACATTTGCAGCGAAGCACGCTGATATGCAGCCTTTTTTTTCTTTTTAATGTGTGGCGCCGTCATTTCGGGATTTGACACGAATTATTTCTCAGTTCCGTATATCGTGACGTTAAATTATGGCTAGGCCTTGAAACGCTGTAATCACCCAAAGGCCCGTTTTCGAAAGTACGAGGTAATACACCAGTGCATCCGCATAATAATATCGCCTATACTTAGGCGTCTTCTTAAGGCGTCCTCCTCGCGGTATAAAATCCCGGCTGTGGCGGCTGCATTTTCGGGTGGAGGCGAAAATGCTGTATACGCCAGTGTGCTCAGATTTGGGTGCACGTTAAAGAACCCCAGACGGTCTAAATTTTCGGACGCCTTCCACTACGTCGCCTCACATAAGCATATGGTGGTTTTTGGTTGTTATACCCCGGATATTATTATTTTGTCATTAGGTGTCCTCTTTTGTTCAGCGAGTCGTTCATGAGAACCGTAATTTCTATCGTTGCTCGAGCATTCGTCTGTCATTAGGGAAGGGCCGTCCTTACGCCATCGATCGCCCTGGGCAACCTTGGGAACGAGCGCCATAGGGAGCGTTATCGTCTTTTGATTTTTTCATACCATACGGCTAACCTGTCTTTCGCTCGCTGCAAGAGGAACATTATCCGGCATTACATAAATACGTTCCTGTAACATGCCTGATTAAAAGAACCCTAAAAAGAAAAGAAAGAAAAAGGTTCACCTGTATTAGCATAATTTACTTTTATTCAAGAGTAGCGTCTGTTACGGACGGGAGCAGGTATACAAGCAAAAGTAAAAAAAAAAAGAAGAGGAGCGCGATACTCAACCTCCGCTCGCTACGCGCCTCACCGTATTGACTCATTAAAGCAGTAACGCCTTTTCTTGATGCGACGTCGCAGAAGATTGACTAATCACACCGTGTTCTAAAAACGCCGGTGTACAACATCTGGAACGGGAGTGGTCAGTGTGTTACGGCAACCAAGATGTGATTGGGACGCAACCAGAGCTGTAGCAGGCAATAGCACACCAAGTACATGCCCCCACCCCCCCCCTGACTTTTTTGCCATGGCATAGAGAGCGAAAAATGAACATTTCAAAGGGATTCCCCTCGTGAAATCAAAGAGGGGCATCCCCCTCCCCCCCCCCCTCGCCTCCGAAAAATATTTCTGGCTACGCACCTGGACGTAAATGATGTGACAGTTCATACAGCTGTCTCATTAAGTGTGTTCCTTTCAACGCGAGTTCACAAGCCGTGGTCTCTACATTTTTTTTTTTGTTGTTGTTCACAGGGTGCACAGCTTTGCCTCCGAGACCCGCATCCGCCTACCGTCGGTGAGCGGCGGTGGCGCGCCGAGCGCCAAGCGGAGGCCCCAGCCCCCTAGCGGCGGCCGCCAGCAGCAGTACGCCTCCTCTCGGAACCAGACTTCTTCCGGTTCTTCTCATCAAGTTCGAGGCAGCCTCGAGAGCCTCGGTACGTGCTTCGTCAACCTGGCCCTTTAAATCGATTGTTCTACACCATAGAGTTTCCTAATATACACTAGAGGAAACTCTGGCGCTAGTGTCTATGGGAGCTGCAACACACGGCGCTTCAGCGAGCATGGGAATGATGGGTAGTGCACACATTTGTCTAATATTCGTACTTCTGGCCTGATTCTGGCTCCGTGTGTGTTCGTGTGGCTTGAAGTTGTTTTTTCACGAAAAAAAAATATTAGCAAATGTTTAGCGGTTGCGCTTCAGCATATTATTTTTTTTAGACTTACCTTTCGAAATCGGGTCGTGAAGTTCAAAAGGGTTGAATCTTTCTCTCAAACAAAACCGAAACACAGCAGTAAACGAAGCCGCAAGTACAATTCGCCGCCCGCAAGTACGAAGACTAGGCAAATGTGTGCGCTACCCATCATTCCCACGGTCGCTGAACGATCGCAGCGCCAGAGTGTCCTCTAGTTAATTTTGGGAAACTCTGTGTTCTACACCTCCTGGTACAAACCCAGAGAACGACTTAGTGCGTGTGTTTGACCTTGAAGTTTAAGCCTCGCTTCGGTTGCCTAGTGGCTAAGGTACTCGGCTGCTGGATTGAATCCCGGCTGCATTTGCGATGGAGGCGAAAACGCTGCAGGTCCGTGTGCTCAGATTTGGGTGCACGTTAAAGGCCAACTCCGGCGATTTTTCGACCATGTCAAGGTAATGGTATTTTCATGTTCCTGAGACATTCTTGTCACGAGACCAATAGCTGAAATGCTCGGGAAATGCTAGAATAACTTTTACTAAGCAAAATGGTGCAACACCGAAACTGAAATCCAACCGCGCGCCGTGTCTGCTTATGACGTACTATTTGGCAAAAACCGGAGGCCGTATACTGTTCCCGAGGGCGTGTAGTGTGAAAACTGTGAAAGCCAGACCAGCGAAGCGCCGGCCAAACACCACAGAGGAAGGAAGAAAGCTTTCCCGTGCTGTACCCGTGCGAAACTCCGCCGCCGTCGCCGCCTTGTGGCCAGCACAATAAACGCTGTAGCAGCCCAAGTAGCGATGCCATCGGCTGCGTCACTTCGGTTTACATGCCAAACATGACGTCAAACACTGTTGCCAATAACATTGGCAAGCGAGGTGAGCTTTTTAAGGCAATCTTTAAAATTCATTCGCAAACAATCGGCGCATATCTCAAGCCTGTAATTTGACATAAATGACGGAAATGTGAAAATGAACATATCCAGCGATTTTCGTTGGGATCCATTTACCTCGAAAAAGTTGACAGAGCTGGCCTTTAAAGAGCACCGGGTGGTCGGAATTTCCGGAGCCCTCCACTGTGGCGTCTCTCATAATGATATGGTGGTTTTGGGATGTTAAAACACCACATACCATACTTAACCTTGAAGTTCAAGGTAGATTTCCTCATATTCCTCCCATGGGCGTCGTCCTAGCAACGGACACGCGCTGTGTCTTTGTCTTCTCCTGCTGGCCGGCCGAAACCGCATGAAGGCGGGTACAGCTCCTTAATGTGACAATTAACTGATCGCGCAATACTAGATTTTTACGGGGTCTGCTTGATCCCACGGAAACCACCGCGGCACGCTTTCCGCGGGAGCTAGTAGTGCCGTGCTTCAACAGGGTCTTTCTTATAGCGCCGAAAATGTCAAGGGAAGGATTTGAATGCGTCAGGAGGGATTTTCGGTAATCGTTTGGCGACATTCCAGCTGCATAAATTCATTTCATAGCGAAATCTGTTATTATAATCGCATCGCAAGGTCACGTGCGGCGCCGTAGTTGTCCGCCGTCGCCGCCGGTGTCCGTAACCGCTATCGCACGAAACGATACACAAAGGACACAATGGGATTCGAACCCGGATCAGCTGCGTGCCAGCCTATAGTATTCTACCACTGAGCCACGCCGGGGCTTGGAACTCGTTACCAAACTGGCCTTACGTAGGCTTGATGTCGGGAAAGAAATTGCGTTTGCATGAGTAATAAAGTTTTTTTTTGGAACAGCAAAGGAACAACCAGACGTCGCACAACGCGAATCGCGCTACGTGTGGGTCGCCGAATGCTCCAACTCTTTACAAAAGCTTGTTCTCGATAACCCATTAACTGTGGCGCATACCTACTTCACGTATAATTCTTCATCGTCGTCAGCCACTGCATAACAAAACTTGCACAAGATTCGTTGCAAGTGTGTAGCGGATACCACACTTCTCCGAAGAATGACAAAGAATAATAATAATAATAATAATACATTCTATTTCTTCAAATAAAACAGTACATGTGACTAGGCCTGCCAAAGCCAATTGGTGGCTTGAGTGGCAGCATAGCATAGTGAATGCCGGCCTACGACAAAATAATTGCTTATTAGATGCGGAAGCATCTTATACTCGCGCCTTGTAGTGCGCCGTCCGCACCGTCCGCACCGCTTCTCGAACATTCGACAGCTGACGCGCGCGCATGCGCCGTCGCGCCGTCGCCCACTCTTCCACCATCTGTGCATCCCTTCCTCCTCTACACACCGCGCGCGCTTCACTCCTCCACCATCTGTGCACCCTTCCTCCTCTACACACCGCGTTCGACATCTACAATTCTCCTGATTCTCCAGTGGACGCGCATGTGGCGTCGCGCTTCGAGAACATTCAACAGCTGACAGTGCATGCGCCGTCGAGCTGTATATATACGTAAGGTCGGCGCTCGCTCGCTCAGTTGCCGCTCGTCGGTTGGTTTGTACGGCGCGTCGACGTCCAAGGTCGCGGTGAAATGAATTCCAACGAATCCACAAACACAATGATCGACGTCCCTTCGACCAGCGCCGCCCTTTCGCATACGTGTTGTTGTGCCACAGACATGTTCCTCGTTCAGGAGCGCGTCTCGCAGGATCGAGCCCTGTTTCGACGAACTGTCTCCCCCCTCTCCCAGCGCCGCCTTCCGTGCAGAAGAACCGTGCAGTCCGGGGATAACGTCGTTTCCTCCGCCGGACCACTTTGCAGTTCCGGGTATGGCTACGTCTCCCCCTCCGAGCCCGAGAACTGGTCTTAGAGAATGGACCAAAGACGCTATTTAAGGCCGAGCCGGCCCCATGTTAGAGGATTTTGCCCCAGCCGACGTTGTCGTGCTGGCCGGCTCTGTAAAACGACAACCTGCTATAGTAAACGCTACTTTTGTTGCTGTTTTCCAAACGGATTGCCTCCCTGTTTCACCTTCGAGCTAAGGCTTCATCGAAGTCCGCTCGACGGCTCACCGCTCTTCGCCACCGCTACCATCGCGACAGAGCAAATTCATAACAGTGGTTGGCAGCTTCGGGATACGATATCCTACGTTTGGCATGCCGGATCAGACCCCTGTCCTCGACGTTTTCCTGCTCTGGGACCCGCTACCCCGATCTCAACGGCTGAAAAGTTGGATCGGATCTCCGAGCACGAGGACGACCGCCGTGATAGCGTTTGGCTACGCTGCGATACGCTACCCTGTTCTCATCGTTCGGCAAGCTGGGACAAGCAACCCCGGATCTCAACTATTGGCAAGTTGGACCGGATCCCTGAAGGCCTGATACTGTTCGACGGCAGCCACGAGTTAGACCATCGTCGGCTACTTTGGTTGGGTGAGTGCCCAACGTTTACTGTTCATTTCGCCAGACCTCTCTAGCACAGGCAGATGTTAGGAGAGCGTTTTGTGTTTTTTTGTTGTAATTTAAATATTCACCTACTTTAAACCACGAGATTAGTTTTAGAGTACGGTGAATATCAGTAGTAGCGCATCACGAGGGACGAGATCGCAATGGAGCAGTACCTGGTGCAGGACCTCCACGAAATTTGTGGAGCCATGGGGATTTCCGCCGGGTCCGCTAAAACAAAGGAAGCGATTCTCGAGGTGATGCGGGCAGAGAATGTGACGGCCGAGGAAGCTGACGAGTTTTGGGAGCTTATTTGTGAGCAAAAGCAGAAGGCCGAAAAAGCTCAAAGGCACGAACAATGGAAGGCCGAAGAAGCTCAAAGGCACGAACAATGGAAGGCCGAAGAGAGTCGCAAAAGGAGAGAGCATGCTCTCAGAATGAAGGAGCTTGATCGTCAAATTGAAGCGATTAAGTGGCAGCGAGCACAATACCGACTCAGACTCTTCGGAATGGACGAGAACATCGTGTCTTTTCTCCTTAATTTTGAAGAGGTCTGTGACGATGTTGGTGTTGGCCGAGACTTATGGTCGGAGAAGCTTGCCACGTTGCTTCCGTGCAAAGTCGCAAGCGTTTTGGGGTGCTTATCCGCCGAGGAAGCGCATGACTTTGATAGGATTAAATACGCTTTGTTCCGCCACTTTGCTGCTATGAGTACTGCCGACTGTGAAAGTCGAGCATACAAGTACAGCGCTGAAGCGTGCAGCAAAGCGCTAGAAATTGAGACCCATCGCAAAGCGCAGGACGCCATCGTGCGTCAGAGAGAGCGAGATGAGGCGCGGCGTGAGGCGATGGAGGCGGAGGCACGTGAAAACGAGGCTCGCCGAAGAGCGCTAGAACTAGAAGCGCGTCGAGAAGCGCGTAAAGATAAGGCATGCCGAAAAGCTATGGAGGCTGAGACCCGTCGCGAAGCACAAGCCGCTGAAGTGCGCCAGAGAGAGCGTGACGCTGAGGTGCACCGCGAGGAGTTAGGGGCCGAGGTCCATCGCATAGCTAAGGAAGCCGAGGTACATCAGAAAGCACTGGTGATGGAGCCGCTTCGCAGCGCACGCGATCAGGATGATTCGCGTCAAAGAGAGCATGAGGCCGACTTCGAAGGCCAGAGAAGTAGAGCTATCTACGACAGCGATAGACCCCCACAGATCAAAAGCTCTCTAGGCGTGTTTGTTGGCTTTGATAGCATCGGGAATCCCGTTCTGTCGCAAGCAGAGACAGCTAGCAACGGGCCCGAAGAAAGGCTAGCTAACCAGTCTAGAGTCTTGGCAGTGCCTGTCAAAGGCAGCGCACTTGAAATTAGGTGTGTCGAAACAGCCGGCATTCCTAGCC